ATTTAATATTCTTTTGCAAGGCAAAACAGTAGCAATCAATGTGAAAGTAAGGGAGCAGCTGCTGCTTCCCAAATACTGTCAACAAGACAGAAAATGTGCGAGGTGTTGTGAATAATGGCTGTAATTAAAACAGTGCAGCAATTCTGGTAGGATAAGCAGGGCTCCCAGGGTTATGATTATCAAGTTTAATCTTGGAAGCACGACTGCCATGTGTGCATACATGTGTGCAAGTGTATGTCAATGTACACATATTTGCACATATACGTATGTACACAAATGCAGAGAGCTGGAGGAAAAGAAGGACAGACTCCAGAGAAGCAATCACGGAGAGGAAGGGAGAAGAGGAGATAGACTCGATGGTGGGAGAGGATAAGAGAAAAGGAAAAAGGAGAAGATGGAGAAGAGAATAGAGATGAAGGGTTAGTTTTTGTTCTATGGGTCAAGGATCAGCAACTTACCTTACCTGACCACCTATATAAAGTAGGTTACAGGCACACACACAAACACAATCACTTTTGCTACATACTGTTTCCCGAAATAATCCTCTCTCTCTCTGTCTCTCATTTTCCTTCCTTCCTTACTGCTTCCTCCATTGAATTGAAAGTTCCTTGAGAGCAATGACCTCCATCTATGCCATTTATAACTCGTAGGAGTTAGCTTGGGCTAAATTGTGCTGCAATAGCAAGTGAGCCCCCCCGCCAAAAAAAAAAGATTTATTTCTTCCTCATATTACATGTCGGTTGTGGGTTGATTATGACCCTGCTGTATGTATCTTCACTCTGGAACTCAGCTTCACAGAACAGAGCAACATCTCAGCTATTGGTGTTCTCATGTCAAAGAGAAGACAGACCATAGTGTTATCACTCCGTGGCTCAGAAAGCATCTGCTTGGAATTGACATATCACTTCCACTCACATTTCATTGGCCAAAGAAAGTCACGTGGCTGCCCTAGAGTTTAACAGGGTGAGGATGCATAACGCACCGTCAGGGATGGGTGATGAAAAATTTAAACAGCAAATACAGTCTGCTGCACCACTGCATTCTCAAACCTACCACAGTTCCTAGAACAAAGTAGACCATCCTATCAGTGGTGCCCTTTGGCCCCCGGCTGTTGGGAAGCTTTGTTCTAAACTGTTCTGTTAAATTGGCCATAAGATCTTCCTGGTTCATATTACGTGATAGAGAAAATTGAAATTTTTCTCAATCATGTATAGTATGTAAACTAAAGCATCTTTTTAAAAAATTGCTCTTTTTATTCCTTTGGAACACACAATCTAAGTGAAAACCATGTGCTTTTTATGCAAAAACAGTTTCAAGAAAAGTCCCCTAGCCTCCTTCCAAACATATTGCTTTCTTTAAGCTCCTTCAACATAGAATTTCAAAGCTACTACGAGATGGAAAAATGGAGGACTGGGTCAGCTGAGGGTAGGGACTTTGGAGCTGTTTCAAACAATTCAGGGAGGTGCAGATATCTTTCCTTTTTTCATCTACAATACAGGGCAGTCCAAGGCCTGTAGGCCAGTCTACAGTCTGGCCTGTAGGCAGTCTAAGGCCTGTAGGCCACATGCAGATTATTTTAGGTCTGTGACGTTTAGCTGTGGTGTCAGATATCACGAGAAGTATGCTCAGACCTTTTTTGTTGTTGTCCATCAGTGTTGGTTAGCGTTTGTGTATTTACTGTGTTTCTCTTATCTTCCAGTTTGCAGCAGAAAAGGAAAAATGTTGGACACCCATGGTCTTGTAGAAATACTGAACTATGAGGCATCTAAGAAGCAGAGTCAAAGCTGAATTCCCCCCTCCCTCCTGACAGAGTCTCACTCTGTCACCTTGGTTCCAGTGTCATGGCTTCATCATAGCTCACAGCAACCTCAAACTCCTGGCTCAAGTGATCCTCTTGCCTCAGTTTTTCTATTTTTAGTAGAGATGGGGGTCTCCCACTTGCTCAGCCTGGCCTCACTCTCCTGAGTTTCAGTGATCCACACGCCTCAGACACCCAGAGTGCTAGGATTACAGGTGTGAGCCATAGCCCCCAGCAAGGCTGAATTTCTAATATTCCTTCCCCTAAACCTGTTCCACATTTTGCTTTTTTCATTTCACTAAATGGCAGCTCCCTTTAGTTGCTCACATCAAAAATTTTGGTGTTGTCCTTAAATGCTTCCTTTGTCTGTCTCTGTCTTTCTCTTTTTTATTTATTTATTTATTTATTTTTTTGCAGTTTTTGCCCGGGCCTGGGTTTGAACCTGCCACATCTGGTATATGGGGCCGGGTCTCTACTCCTTTGAGCTACAGGCACCACCCCTGTCTTTCTCTTATATTCCACATGCAATCTATTTGTAAATCCTGCCTTCAAAACATATCCAGAACCCTATCTTTTTAAAATCATCTTCACTGCTATGGCCTTGGTCTAAAACATTATCATCTCTGGGCTAGATTAGTGCAAGACCTCCTCTATCTGTCAGCTATCCCTATTATATTGACAAACAACCCTGAAATGTCAGTTACTTACAACAAACATTTACTTTGCTTGCTCAGTGGGTTAGGGTCAGCTGGGATGGCTCTGCTTCATGCTGAGAGTCATGCTGGTATCCTCTCTGTGTATCTCTTCATTCTGAGAAGAGCAGCCAGCTGGGGCATGTTCTTCTCACAGCAGATGACAGGTGGACAAGAGACCAAGCTAAATCAGACAAACACACTTAAAATAAGGTGACCAGACATCCCGCTTTTGGCGGGACAGTCCCAATTTTTAACAATTTGTCCCACGTCCCGCAGCGTTGTAAAAAAGTCCTGATTTTTGGAAAGAATGCACAACAAGCTAGGGAACGTGAGAGAACAGGAAGGGAATATATGGTTTTTAGCTGCCATGTGGCTATTTCACCAGGATATGAGTTTTATATTATTTTTGTTAATTTTATAATGTTAAACTTTAATAATAACAAATAACTGTTGAGAACTGATTATCAAAGTTTGCATTGTTGTCAGGACCCGCCCCCCCAAGCCCCCCCCCAATCTTGTCCCGCTTTACCAATGTTAAAATCTGGTCATCTTAACTTAAAACCTCTGTTATGATCGTGTCTATTGACATTCCAGTAGACACAGTAAGCTCCATGGGCCATGTTCAGTATCAGTGGGGCCATGAAATATGCTCTGGTTCAGATGTCCTCAATCTAAGGGCCGCGGGCCACATGCAGCCAACCTAGGACATTTATCCAGTCTGCCGGGTGTTTTTGACACCACTGCCTGTCCTGCTTAGCAGCTGACTCATCCCAGGGCCCACAGTCCGGCCCTCCAACCATCTGAGAGACAGTGAACTGGCCCCCTGTTTAAAAAGTTTGAGGACCCTCTAGAAGGAAATACACTGAAAAGTGACATGGAAACAGGATGCATATAAAATTCTGTAAAAGAAAGTGAAAACTTGAAAACAATAATCCGGTCTCCCATGACCCCTAACTACTCTACTAGCTTCTGTCCATTTCTTTCTACTGTCCAGTCTCCATTCCCTTCCTCATCTCTCTCAGATCTTTGCTCAAATGTTGGTTTTGTAGAGAGGTGGTCCCTGTGCACACCAGTCAAAATTGCAATCCCTCAACTATCCCAGTTCCCCTACCTCCTTTTTCTGTTTTATTTTTCTCCATGGCACTTATCACCTCACACACTGTGTATTTTGTATATTGTCTGTTTCTTTTTTCTTTTCTTTTCTTTTTTTTTTTTGAGACAGAGTCTTAAGCTGTCACCCTGGGTAGAGGACCATGATGTCACAGCTCACAGCAACCTCAAACTCTTGGGCTTAAGTGATTCTCTTGCCTCAGCCTCCCAACTAGCTGGGACTAAAGGTGCCAGCCACAACACCCAGCTATTTTTTTGTTTGTTTGTTTCAGTTGTCATTGTTGGGTTTTTTATTATTTTATTTTATTTTATTTTATTTTTGAGACAGGAGCCTCAAGCTGTCCCCCTGGGTAGAGTGCCGTGGCATCTCAGCTCACAGCAACGTCCAACTCCTGGGCTCAAGCGAGTCTTCCGCCTCTGCCTCCCAGGTAGCTGGGAACACAGGCGCCCACCACAACGCCCGGCTATTTTTGGTTGCAGCTGTCATTGGTGTTTGGCGGGCCCCAGCTGGATTCAAACCCGCCACCTTGGGTGTACGTGGCTGGTGCCTTAGCCACTTGAGCCACAGGCGCTGAGCCCATTGTTGTTTTTTTAGCTGGCCCAGGCCAAGTTCAAACCCACCCGCCTCGATATATGTGGCTGGTGTCCTATGCACTGGGCTACAGGCTCCACCCATCTGTTTCCTTTCAATAGCGTGTAAGCTCCATGCAGGCAGGTATGTTAATCTTATTTGTCCACTTCTGTATCCTGAGTGTCTAGAACAGTGCCTGGCACTTAGAAGCAGTTGGGCAGGGTAATAGAGCCTGGCATTTTATCCCAAAGGCCCTGCCATTTATGAGGCAGGGAAAAGAGGAGATAACAAAAGCATCCCTGGACAAGGGGAGATAATCAAGCATGTCTTTATTCACAGCCATTGGAATTGCATAGACAGTGAGGTGACATGATAACTCAAGATCAAATACCTCCTCCCCCCCCCCCGCTTCCGGGTGGCTAGGGAAGTGATGTCACAGGGCGATAACTCAAGATCCCCCCCCCCCGCCAGCTTCCGGGTTGCTAGGGAAATGATGTCACAGGGCGATAACTCAAGATCAAATACCTGCCCCCCTTCCGGGTTGCTAGGGAAGTGACGTCACAGTGAGATGGCGGCGGCTCCTTCAGGTAGCTGAAGGGGGATTGAGGCCCGGAAGATCCGAGTCCATCCGCTGCTGGGAGAGGGCGAGCCGGCCAGCAGAGGCCGGAGCAGGGGCGGCAGTGCTCGGACTGTCCCATCTGCCCTGTATTGAGGCGCTGGGAGCGGCAGGGCAGCCGGGAAGTGATGGTGAAAGTGGGGCCGTGAGGGGCGCGGAGCCGACAGCCAGACCCGCAGTAGCGGCAGCAGCGGCACCACCTCTGGGAGCTCATACCCAAGAAGCAACCTGGAGGGCAGGAGCGAGCCGGGCCAAACGGCCATGGAGCTGAGAGTCGGGAACAGGTACCGGCTGGGCCGGAAGATAGGCAGTGGCTCCTTCGGAGACATCTATCTCGGTACGGACATTGCTGCAGGAGAACAAGTTGCCATGAAGCTTGAATGTGTCAAAACCAAACATCCTCAGCTTCACATCGAGAGCCGAATCTACAAAATGATACAGGGAGGAGTGGGCATCCCCACCATTAGGTGGTGTGGGGCTGAGGGGGACTACAACGTCATCGTGATGGAGCTGCTGGGGCCCAGCCTGGAGGACCTCTTCAACTTCTGCTCCAGGAAGTTCAGTCTCAAGACAGTTCTGCTGCTCGCCGACCAAATGATTAGTCGTATTGAATACCTGCATTCGAAGAACTTCATTCACCAAGACATCAAGCCAGACAACTTTCTCATGGGGCTGGGGAAGAAAGGCAACCTGGTCTACATCATCGACTTTGGGCTGGCCAAGAAGTACCGGGACGCAAGGACCCACCAGCACATCCCCTACCGCGAAAATAAGAACCTGACAGGGACGGCGCGGTATGCCTCCATCAACACCCACCTCGGCATTGAGCAGTCTCGACGAGATGACTTGGAGTCTTTGGGTTACGTGCTGATGTACTTCAACCTGGGCACTCTCCCCTGGCAGGGGCTGAAGGCTGCCACCAAGGGGCAGAAGTATGAAAGGATTAGTGAGAAGAAAATGTCCACTCCCATTGAAGTGTTGTGTAAAGGCTACCCTCCTGAATTTGCCACATACCTGAGTTTCTGCCGCTCCTTGCGTTTTGATGATAAACCCGACTACTCATACCTGAGGCAACTCTTCAGGAACCTGTTCCATCGCCAAGGCTTCTCCTATGACTACGTGTTTGACTGGAACATGCTGAAGTTTGGCGCCACCCGGGCTGCTGATGATACCGAGCGAGAACGGCGGGATCGAGAGGAGAGGATGAGACACTCCCGGAACCCAACCACCCGTGGCCTCCCTTCCGCGGCCTCCGGCCGTCCGTGGGTCACCCAAGAAGTGGCTACCCCTACACCTCTCACCCCTACCTCACACACGGTTAACACCTCTCCTAGGCCGGTCTCTGGCATGGAACGGGAGCGGAAAGTGAGTATGCGGCTGCACCGTGGAGCCCCTGGTGATCCGACAGGCCGACAAGATACTTCTCGCATGTCCACCTCACAGATTCCCGGTCGGGCAGCTTCCAGCGGTCTTCAGTCTGTCGTGCACCGATGAGTCTGCTGTGAAGGGCAGACAATGCATAGCTGATCTACACTATAACCAATGACTTTATTAGTGATGCAAAACCCCCCCCCCCGCCCAACCCCTTCCCCCCCACCCTGTCTAGAACCAAAGCATTAACAGGGAGCTCTGCAGGCCACTCATCCAGCGCTGCTCATGGAGGAAACAAAACACAATCTAACCAACAGACTCCAAGAACTGCCATCACTGGGGCCACCAAGGCCCCCCACGGGAACTCACTTGTAACAGGGCTGGGAAGAAAAGCAGAGTGAGAGACATTTGCAGAGAGACTCAGACTCCCCTGCAGTAGTGATAAATCTGTGCTCCCTGACGATTCCATCATAACTACCAATCTTCTATTTGGTTAAGACAGTTTTATATCATTTTGCTAAAATTAGTGGCTTAAATCTGTGTAAACCAAAAAACAATAAAAGACCAAATACCTGTCATACCTCTGTCTCGTCTGTCCCCATTCACACACACACAGAATAAGAACCAAGACTACCACTCAGATTTCCTGAGTTCCTTTTGTCCCCTCTTCTCCCTTGCCACCACACAGCTGAAGTCTTCAATGGCTGAAGCCATTGGGGTCTGCCAGACTGGCTGTTTCTCCCTCTGTGGGTGAGTTACTATCCTGGGAAAGAATCTGGTTTGAAAAGCCCTCCTGATTCCTGTTTCAGAAGAAAGAAGCAATTCCATGTGGGTAGGGCTTAGTGTCAACCCTAGAATCATGGTTTTCTAGTTATTATTAGGGTCTGGAAAACCTGGCAGAGCTCCTGGAGGGGTCATTGCAACACTTAGCAGGATCCAGCTCTGGGAATAGATTTCCATACTCACTGAGCATCCGAAGTAGGGTCAGTGTTTGCAGAGTATTGGTCAAAGTAGCTGCAATTTTTGGCATTTTTTTAAAATCAATTTTTTGTGTGTTTAGATACAAGTATGTTAGGTAACATATTAGCATATATATTTAATAAAATGGTATGTATGTTCTGTATATAAATAGTGTGATAGTCCCTAAAGATGGCTACTATTAGTTACTTCTTTCAATATATATGCATGCATGGGATTTCATTCATCAAAGAGTAGAATCTGATCTTTTTCCTCTTGAATCTACTCTGGTCTTGTATCTTACTTTGTTTAGTGGAATACAGTAGAAGTAACACTGTGTCCAGTTCCAGGTTCAGATTTTACAAGGCCCAGAGTCTTATGTTTGCTCTCAGACACAGCCAGAACCCTGATTACTTTGAGACTACCATGCTGGGAGGAAGCCCAAGGTAGACATAAGAAAAGGCCACATGGAGGAGAATTCAGGAACTCCACAGACAGTGAGAACTCAGACCTCAGACAGAGGCCCCCAGTCAAGCCATCCTGACCATGCTCCAGCTCTTTGAGCCATCCCAGCTGAAGGTCCAGACATCATGGAGCACAGACAAGCCGTCCACACTGTGTCGGGGCTCCTAACCCACAGAATCATGAACAAGTAAAATAGCTGTGGCTTTAAACCATTAAGTTTGAGGGTAATGCTATAGCAATGAAAAACTGAAACTCCCTGGCCAAAAACTGCAAAAAGAAAAACTGAAACAACAGAGAATGTGGGTAGTGAGAAATAATTTAATATGATGACAAGGCTGTGAACCCTGAATCAAGGCTGTCTGGATACCAGCTGCATGAACTTAGGCAAGTCACTAGACCTCTCTGTACTTTATTTTCCTTACCTTCAGAACAGAGTTAATAATATCTCCAATTAAAGTGGTGATGATTAAGCAAGTTCATGCATATAAAGTTCTTTGAACTCTGCCTGGGACATAAGTGTCATGTCAATGTTGGTAACATTGTGGTGATGATGAGGATGTAAAGTTTTTGCTTTATGAGTCAATCACATTTTCATTTAATTCACATTCACTCTCTTCTATGCCTGGGACCCCTCCCTGCCCCAGGAACCAAAAGAAACCAAATAGGAAAAAATAAAATTATTGCCTCCCCGGAGACCAGCCTAGGGCTTTTATGCATACTGTGCACTCAGAATTTTGGGATTTAATTAAAGGCCCCAAATCACTTCTGGCTGACATGGGAAAGAACTAGAGGATTGCCCCCCTCTCCAGTTTTCCTCTGTATTTCCATTTTGCGTAGGCAAATGTTCAAGTGTGCATTCCTCAAGCACACATCCCCAGGCTGTCATAGGAGCTGGGGGGGGGGGGAAGACAGCTCAGAAACCTGCTGGGAGGCAGGGGAGGCCAGCTTAGAGGAAGGCATTACCCACAGATAATCCACAAAGTGGATAATTCACGGGAGGAATCAAGGACAGATTTTAGTACATTATTATTTTCCAAGCACTTTTAGTGGCCGGTAAAGTTCATGTGGCCTCTCGAAGTCCCTACCATGGCTGGAGGGGAATAATGTAGGCCCTGGGAGGGTTGGCTTCAATATAAAATAAAGTAGATAATAAGTATTTCCACCCTTCTTGTCACTCTCATGGCAACGCAAGCTGCCAAGGCTGAGGGGAGGTGGGTGTTGAGTGTTCATCTGACTAATCTGTAAATCAGCATGATGCAGCCTGTGCCCAGGTAGTAGGAGGCAACTTGGAGGAAAGAGCTGGGCCCCTGAACAATGGTGTGCAAACGGAGGTTGGGGAGCTCTTAGAGAGGCTCAGGGGAAATGACTTGAGCTGGGGAGGTATTCAGAGTAAAAGATGGAGGTGGGCAAAGTCCTTCCCCTGCCTTTTCTTATCCCTCCCACCACCTGCACACGATCGCCTCCCCTCCATTGCCTCTTTTCTTGCCCCAATTGCACAACCTCCTCTGGTCAGTGGTCCCCAAACACCAAAATAATAACCCTCCTTCTGCTGTGTCCCTTCCTCATGTATTCAAAATGGCCATTTTTCTTGGAAAGCTGAGCCCATTCTGGTTGAGGAAGACCCTGAAGAAGGGCAGTTGGGAGAAGCAAACTTGCCTCTGAGTGAGGCCTGTGAGGCGTAGAGGTGAAGGAATCCGGAGAGTCCTGGAATCCAACGGGTGTCTGGAGAAGCAGGCCCAGGAATGGCGGATGGGTTGGTTCCGGCAGCTCCCTGGCTGCTGGGGAAGTCCAGCCTGCCTGGGACCTACACTCTGAGCCCAGGGTGCTGGGGGAGGGTCATAGCTGATAAATGCCAGGCTTGCAGGCTGGAAATGGTGACCAGTGTGGAGTTTGCTGGGAATGGAAAAAAACAAAAAAGCCCTCTCCCTAGGGAGCTACCAATTGCTGTGTCGCTTGGCTCTCTGTGCATTCCAACAGGGCCACTGTCTGCCCGGCACATGATGTTGCAAAGAACAAAAATAGCCTCTGGTAACTGCAAGAGGATCTGTTTATAGAGTTCCGGCCTTCACACCACCTGTGAGTTATACCCAACCATGCAATCCTTTCTAAAGAACGAATTCATTCTTTTGCTCAAGGGCCCACTGACCACAAAAGGCTGATGTCCGTCTGTACTTTTTTCTCTTTAGAGAAATGCCTTTCCTCTCTCCACTAGCCACAAGACTGTCTTGCTGCCCACCAGTCCCTGCCCTTCCTGGACATGCCCCAAGGCTCTGAGCACTTCCCCATGCCCTCCCCTCAGCAAAGCTTATTTATTTTGTGTCCTTTTCCTTCCTTTTTTTTTTTTTTTTTTTTTTTGCTGTAGACTAGTGAGGTAATCTGAGCCAGCATCAGCAGTCCTAATCCTTTCCAAGACGTTGCTGCTGCAGACCCTCTCCTCCCCTGTTCCCGGGAAGGAGCATAACAAGATAACCGCTTGCCCCCCGCCCAGTCAAAAGAGGAAGACTAAGTTCCTTCCCTTAAGAAGTGACGGTGTTAATTTCATGCAGGCAGATTACTAGGCAGCCATTTTGAGGCATGGGGGCTTTGTGTTGGTAACCTACTCCATGGATCCGTGATGGCAGCTACAAATTCTGACTATGTCTCAGACCCACTCTGTTCCCTTAGAGTAGAGATCAGAGGCATGGGCACTGACTTAGTGACTACAGGCACCAGGTGAGCAACCAAAATACATCTAGTGAATGTGGTGGGCTGGTCTCTGTGGCAAACTGAAGAGCACATGGCCATCGGAATTATGAAATAGCCACACAGAGGGACATGATAAAATACAACTGACCCCAGCCTCGGCACTGGGCAGATAAGAGGAGGCAGTGGGGCAGAGGTAAGCCAGGGAGTGAAACCGTGATCTGTTCCAACAGGGCAGCCACTACTCAACTTCAGCCCAGTGTTGCTGTTTGTCAGACTGCAAGCCTGGAGTTGGCAAAACTTCCGAGTTTTCAAGAGAAACCAAAAGAACGGATTTTTTCTTAATGCAAAATCTTCTTGCTCTTTAATGCTGTCAGTTAACTGAAAAATAATATTCAAATATTGAGCATGCCAAGCAAAACATATCTTTGGGATGCATTCAGCTTGCAGGCCACCTCTGCATCAGACTATTCAACCCCAGGCATTGAATCATCCCAGAATATTTAAGCTTCGGCAACCTCTGGTCTGGCGCTGATTATATATTTATGAATAGAATAAAAGGGGAGCGAGAGGAAATTTCCAACTGGAGACAACTTCCGTATCTCCTTCAAAAAAAATCTCATGGCAGGTATCCGAGTAAGGTTCCTGAGGGGAAGAGTCCTGAGATTCAGCTAGTAACTAAATTTAGTCACTATTCATTTATCCACGGAAGGATTGCCTGCTCTATGGATTAGCCGTGGGGATTTTGAAGCCCGAGCCCTTTTCTTCTGACACTCAAGTTATCCTTGAATGCTGCTTTCCATTGACCCACACTGAAGTGGGCAGGGAGGACCCACCAACCTGCAGTTGTTAGGAAAGCAAATTTGCTATGAAAATAATTTCAGGATCTATCCCAAATTCCATGCTTTTGTGACTCGCTAGCAACACAGATAAAAAGGACTCCACTTCTGTCTTTAAGTCTATCTAATTAATAGAAGTCAGAAAGGAGAATTTGCTTGAGGGTATCTCTGCACGTTTTT